ATGAGAAGAAACTTTTTCTTTTATCCTCATTTAACTATGCGGAGTGAAGGTTTTGCATTACGCTATGCTCTGCTGCCTGTCAATCCTCTGACAGACAAAGAGAAATGTGTCCCCAGATTCAAGAAAAAAAGTTCCTCCAACACATGTTGCCAAAGAAACTGAAGTTTCTACACCAATAACCACCAAAGCAGAACAGTAACGTGGCCTAAGTCCTAAAATTTAGATGAATGAGCATATATAGTATGCAAGTAAACAGGCAAGGTGGGTATTATTAAACCATGGAGGTGTTCATGCATTGGAAAAGCCTCAAACCTTGGTAAGATTTTTAGTTTTGCTGCATTTGCACCAGAGAGACTGGATTCCTGTGAGGACAGAGATATTGGGATGAATGTGATCATCTGATGACGGAACAGAACTCGATGAAGTGGAGGGTGTTTGTCTGGATGTTTTTATGAAGATGGAGGTAGATGAGGGTCAGCGCTCTCATGGCCTCATCAAGAAATTCTGTTTACTGTAGTTTTTATTGCAGAATATTTGAGGATCATGTTTATAATGTGACTTAGAATGACGTCAGTGTTTTTGCTGGAATTGATAGCTTGGGTTGTTTGACGTGGGGTTGTGTGAGGTACTTATCTACAGTCATTGTTTTACCTGCAGTAGCTTCGAATCAGTGTGCGCCCAGTTTGGAGGAGCAGCCGGGAGCTGAGTGATGTGCTGCTGTGGACGGGGCCATCCGCAAATCCATTTTTTTAGCCACTTTAAAAAAAAAAAAAAACCCACAGAAGAAAGCTAATATCAGTTTTAAGTGTACGCTTTATTTTGAATATTTTCACAGCTTAACATCGCTGTCAAACTGCCCTTCCTTTTTGGAACTGCAGTTTATAAGTTTGTAATATAGAATATATATAAATTATAAAGTAATATAGTTACACAATATTAAACAATATTGTGTGCAGTCTAAACTTCGCCACCATTGAGTTCACTGTGTGTCGCTGTGCTGGTTAATGTTGTAATGTCATACATTTTGATTTCATTACAAACTGCGCAGTGGTTGAGACTTGCACATAGACATAATAATTTGTATAAAAATGCCTATTATTGGAAAATATCTTTTTCTTTGCTGACTTTCACTTGCTGTTTCACTTGCTTATTGTTTCAGTGAAGTTCAGTGAGGAAAAAAAGGAAACTGATTAGTTGTTTACACCAAGTGCATTAGAGAAAATAAATGAAATATCCAATTCTCTTTCAACACAGCCAGTGCGTGTGTGTGCATGCCTGTATGCTGAAAGCGTTTGCTCTCTGCAAGCCTCAATTATCATGGTGTGTAATTGCTGTGGGAGATTAACTTTTGGGTACATGAAAATAGAGATAGGGAGAGCGAGAGAGAGGTCAGAGAAGAGGGGAATGCTGATTGCTGTGTACATGTGTTTCAGGCTGTGAAGGAGACATCTGCTGAGACGGTGACGAGACTTGTATCCAGGGGGGAGAGGCGCTCTGAACGAAGCAGCTGTGGTCATTTCCAAAAAATAAACACTTTACTTTATTTCTTTTTTTTTTTTTTTTTTTACCACGCGGACATGAATTAGTAAATAGTAATCTGTGCTCGTACATTAGTGTCTAGTGAAGTTACAGGGTGTTGTTGCGACTCCAGTCAGTTGGGGAGGAGCAGTGAGAGTTATAGTAGCTTTGCTTCAGTGCAGACATGCCTTCAAATACTGAATTCATTCCTTCATCTTAACAGTCAGAAGAGACAAACCAGGCAAATTCTTGGAGGCCCCAAGGGGAAAAGAGGCCCCCGATGGCCCCTGATGGCCCCTTATATTGGCACATTTTACAATGACAACTAGAGACCCCCTTAAACCTCCCATTAAGACACTGTACAGTGCACTGATGTTGCCCCAAAACCCCCCTAAGTGGGGCCCCTGATGATGTGTGCTGTAGCTAGTGTCTACCCTTTGTCTGTATGAGAAGCATTCAGGGAACGGCCGTAAATTGTAGCGTCTCCCGATTTTCTGTACGTGAAGTGTTTAGGGGACATCTCTAAATTGTAGCGTCTACCGATTGTCTGTATGTGAGGCGTTCAAGGGACATTAATAAATTGTAGCATCTACCGATTGTCTGTATGTGAGGTGTTTAGGGGACAACTGTAAGTTGTACCATCTGCCAATGAACCAACTGGGTTTAATACAGTTTTTTTTCCTTCATTTTGAATGTAGATACATTCAGGTACACCATGAATACTATGAATATGCAAATATTTTCCATTTAAAAAAAATCTCACTGCTGGACACAAGTGAGCTCTATTAGCCCACTTGCAACAGGATCTATATTATCACAAGCTTTCATCCACTAAAAAGCTGTGATCACAACACATTTATTATAGAAGCTCATCACAGACCGAAAAATTGAAAAAATAAAGTAAATGCATTAAAGATAACACATGCAGTGGTGCAAATCTATGACAGAATATAAAATAATACCAAAGTTAAAATGACAAATTAACGGCACTCAAAAAGAACATCTCACTTATCAATATTAGAGTTTTGCACCCACACACTTAATTTCTAAGATAAATTGAGTTTCTGACTGTCAACATTCTTGACTTTTAATAATTGGGAGTAGGAGTTTCTGTGCAAACTTTTCTTATTTTCTTCTTCACTAAGCAGTGATCCATGTTTAATGGTGAATAATCTGAGACTATCTGACTCACCACCACAATCAAATCGATTGTTCTATTTCCAAACACCATTCGATCCATCAACCGCATTTCACAGAACTCTGTTCGTGAGGTTTTTTTTTTTTAAATGACCTGAGTTACTGCCAGTCTGAAAACCCAGGAAGATAATTGATTTACAATTCAGATTTTATTACGTGTTAGACCTCAGGGAAACGTGCACAGGAGTTTGAGCGCCCATGAACACACTCCTCTCTTTGTCTTCTCTCAGTTTCATCATTTTGAGTGGAGAAAAGAATGTGGTGAAGTTCGGCAGATTCATCTGGTGGCCGTCAGACCACAACATGAGCTGCTGAAAGAGAGTGGTCAGCTGCAGCGGCTGCGGCCCTGGACGACGTTTACAGATGCACGCGCAATCTGGGTTTATTAGAGTAAAGAAAGTACAGGCGTCTCAGTCAACACACATTTCTGCCTCACAGCATCCGAACACTCAATATCCAAATACACAGTTCCTCTCCCCCAAATACACAAATACACACAAAGGGATGAGCTGGTGCAACCACACACACACACACACACACACACACACACACACACACGCACACACATGCACAGAGAGAGTCCTATCCTGCCTTATTTTTAGCTACCCCACCACCACCACCACCAGCCATGACCTACATCACAGCATGAATAAAGCAGCAGAGAGATGAAGAAAGTGAGCTCAGAAGGGTGGAGGGAGAGGGGGAGGATCAGGATGAGGTCTGGGGGGGAGGAGGGAAGGAGAGACAGAGAGAGAGAGAGAGACACACCAGCAAATCCAGAAAAATGAATTCCCCCCGTTGTGAAATGACAGTTCCAGTTCTGTCAGCAGACCTCACCTGCTACAAGTCTCCCAGAGGAGGCTGCAGAGGGCGAACACACACACACACACACACACACACACACACACACACACACACACACACACACAGCTACAAACACAGGGGATAACGCACCACGGAACAACAGAGTTCATAAAGCCTCATCATGTCTCCAGACTTGACAGTAGATGCTTTTCTCACTGTAAATGGAAGCTGACAAAAGCGGCGAGCCTCTTTGAATTATTGAGGCTGCGTGTTGGCGACATCACAGGCCAGCCGTCATCAGGCCCGAACAACGCCTTGGTGCCTATTCGCCAATAAAGCAAAAATCAAAGAGCAGCTTTCAGGGTGGAGTAGGGCTTCAGGACAAGATTGGATTCAGGTACTGTTTCGTGGCCTCAAAGCACTTGAATAAGTTTCATGTTTTTGATGTAGCAGATCAACGCTTTTTATGCTGAAGGCCGACGAAGCTTTGTACGCCTGAATACACGATCGGTCTCTCTTTGATTGTGCAATTCAACACTCCTACTGTACACTCTCCAAGGGTGAAATTTACCAAGAAAAAACCTCTGGGTGTTGCATGTAAGTCAATTACATACTTCATACAAATTCATTCTGTTGTAAGGGGAAAGTATGAGCTGAAAACCTCAAAGCAGGAATGTATTTATCCAAGGAGAGGATATGGAAATACTCTTCTCACTCTCTCTCTTTCCCTTAAGTGTTGCATACACAGTCCCTTAAGTGGTGGAGAGGCCTGTCAGCCTCGGGAAGCCAGCTCTCTGCTGCTCTGTTCCACATAAATACATTGTATTGTATACATATGTGCGCACACACACACACACACACACACACACAAATTTAGACCCTTCTGCATAACACCTCCCTTGTGGGTTTCCGATCCCATTTCATCAGCAGTCATCCTGCTCGGCTAATGCCTCGCTGAGCTCTGTGTTTTAATGCTCATACAATGTCTTTCAAGCTACATTAGGAAGAGAGGGATTCTGTGTATGAAGAGAGGCTGTAATGTGTCGTGATATTAGCGGAACATTAGGGATGTCAGGAAAAAAGCCGCTCTCCCTCCTCCTCTGTCCTCTTCGGTTTGTACCTCCTCATCCCATCAGATTTATCCTTCTCTTTCCTTTGCTCCCTCCCCCTTTTCTTTTGCTTTCTTCTCATCTTTCTTTCTTGTCTTCCTCTAACTGAAAAACAAACGAATACAGAAACAACAACAGTTGTCTGTGAGATTGATGAGTGACCAATTTTTGGATGGGTAACACTTTATTTAATAACTGTAAGCAACAAGGTAACGCCCTGAATCTGTGCTTCTGTAATGTGATTAAAGCAGCAGTGTTGAATCAGTTCATTGAGCTTCACCCAGAGTCTCTCTGTGTGTCCCCCTGAGTTTGTCTTTGTGGAGAACTATCAGGGAGTTATTAATCCACTGTATCTGCTCTGTTTGTCCTCAGATATTGATGAGTGTGCGACCCAGATGCATTACTGCCAGTCCAACACGGTGTGTGTCAACCTGCCCGGCAGCCATCGCTGCGACTGTCTGCCAGGCTTCATCAGAGTGGACGAATACTCCTGCACTGGTAAAGTCTGCATGCTTGCAAACACATTACTGAATCATAAGATCTCATGACGTAATGGCAAACTCATAACTGTCAAAACTGGTTTACTGTTTATTTTTACTTTTGATTAGAAGGGAAGAAACGAAAGGTTGTGCAGTGGGTGTTGCTTTTGATCGTGTATGTCAGGAAATATTAGGCTCTTTTTTGGAGGACTGAGCATCACTGGATATTTTATGATGATATACTCACTACAATCACTACTTTTTTTAAAACTGTTCTTGCTTCCAAATGTTCCACGGGATCCTGGATCACTGCAGAACTGTACTGGTGTTTTGGGTCTCCACCTTAGTTTGGGCGCCTCTGACAGCAAACCTGTGGTTGAAAGCTTTGATGAGCTCAGATAGCTTTTCTTCTTCTTTCCTTCAGAAGTTGTTGTAAAAATATATATATATAATAATAAGATAAATCTGCTGAACCCAAAGAAGGGTGATCCAATGTGATGGTGCTGGAGCCAGTAGGGCAGTTTCCCAGTGGCTGGTGGGCTGGAAAACCTGTATAGTGAATGTGTTGTTGGTTATTGCCCATCCCTCTTTTTTAATTTAAGTAAGTGTCCTTTAAGTCACAATCTACAGTGATTGAGCCTGTGACCCACTGATGAAGGCCTTGCATTTAACAGTTTTATGAACTGAGTGTCTGGTATGACTCGCACACAAAATCATAAGCAGCGTGTGTTCCATGTGTGTGATGGGACACACAAGTGTGGTTCAAAAACAAACCTGTAATTACCATGCGTGGCCACAGGTGTCGCCAAAGATAATGAAACACAGATACTCGAGGTTGTTAGGGAAAATTCTTATCATCAGTGGTGAAGAAAAGAGCGCTGGAGTCCAGGATGTCTTATGTCTGAGGATGTTTATTGAAGCTTGAGCTCAAGGAGAAATGAGGATTCATCAATACAGTCTCCTGTGCATGATGTCACCTCAAATCTGAAGCAGGAGCCCCCTGAGGATAGTCTTTATACACTTAATTACTATAGATTATATAGTTTACACTCCACAATTGGTCAGATATCTAAAAGAAGAGGGAGAAGAGTAGCAGAGTAGTTCATTAACCATAAACAAGGAAACATGACTTTATACTCCCAAGTGCTGATTCTTAGAACACCCAGCCACTTGTTACTGACCATCCAAGGTCTGTTGTTATCAGCCCTGGCACGAGTATTATCAGCAGCAAACCACAGCTGCGTCTGAAGGAGCCGCCTGTGAAGTTTAATGCAGTAGCTGTGGCACTTTGACCTAGGGCCTCACACTGACCTTTCACCCTGGGTCGGTCATTCATTAGGTGGACAAGAGAAAGTTGCTTCTTGAACTTGGCTGAGGGCGGGACTCACGGCAGAGCAATGCTGGTTGTTCAGAGCTGAAGTTTTCCAGTGGCCTTTGTGTTCTAATTAGAATATGTTGGCAAGCTAATGAGCTAAAAGATTGTGAGCGTGACTTTAGTCAGTCGACAGCTTGCTTCATCTGGCAGGTTTTTATCAAATTCATATTAATGACACAATGTACATGTAAGAAACTGACTTAAACTAAGCAACACCATAATGTAGTAATACTCTACTACAAGTAAAAACACAGTATTATCTTTTTGATTATAATTTTGATGCTGTTTAATGATTGATTAGGTGGTTTTGTATGTGAAATCTGAATCTGCAATGAAAATAATAACCACGGCTAAGGGAAGTTGATAAGCGTTGTGGTTTTCACACTGGCCCACGCTCGTGTGCGGTGATTCCTAAACGCGTCGCCCCCGTCAGCTGCCGGCCACAAGGCTCTGCGACTGCGGCGCCGTATCTGTTGTTATCTGAAATTAAAGTGTGCAGAGAAGTGAATGCAAACTGATTTGGTAAAAACCCCTGCGTCTCTCTCTTGTTAAAGGTTGGGAGAATCAGCATCTAATCGAACGAGAACGGGTGATTGCAGCCATTCAGTTTTTTTTTTTTTTTTTTTTTTTTTTTTTTAATGGCTTGTCTACCACAAATATTCTGATCGAAAGGATCCTGTTTCCTCCACATCCCTGACCTTCTCTGAGCTGAATATCAGGGCAAAGTATGGAAGGAATATCACCAACATATTTACCTACTTTTAACAACACGATGCAAATTTTCTGCCCAAGTTTATCTCTGTGGATCTCAAGCTATTTCTCAGCATACAATGCGGTGACACCTGTTCTGGCATAGCTGGCTTAAATTTTTTTTATTTATTTATTTATTTTTTTACTCTAAAGGGGTTTAAGGGCAGCATGCTTTCTCGGGAGTGAATAGGATGTGCTTGGTTGCTGCTCAGTGTTCCTCTGGAGAAGTGTTCTTTAATTAGCTCAGAGTTGGCAGCCACGCAGGGACAGGGATCCATGGACAATCAATCTATTTTGCAGCTTGTAAACTGTCCTGGCTGCTTTCTGGGAGCCCAAGGAGCACTGTGTGCATCTGCTGGGAGAGATAAATCCTCTTTCTTTTTTCCCTCTTCCTGCTTCTCCTTCAGCTTTTTCCCGCGGGTTTCAGATCCTCCTGCATGAATGTAAAACACAGTTAGCGTTTGCGGTGCAGGGAGGTGACTGCTCATATTTCACCACGCTAACACGATTGCCCATTAGCTCCTGTAATTGGTGTGTTGTGCTCAAATCTGTATTGTTATTCTGAATTGTGTCTGCGGATCTGGAAAGGCTTTTGGTAATTATATTGTTGTCACTGCATTAAGCAGGACACACACAGACATGGTGGAAACCATTTTGTGAGTAAACAAAGAAAATTGCAAGATCTTGGAGCATTAAGCGAAAAGCAAGGAGAACATTTATTCAGGAAGTTCAGTGGCTGTTTGGATTACACAGTGAATTGGTGGCGCTTCAATACCAGGAGGGAAACAAAAGAAAAAAGAAAGAAAGCCATACTAATCATCCATGGAGAATACCGCACATTTAGTTTTCTGTAGATGCTGAAATGTGGTCAGATATTGAATTTCCTGACAAATATATACACTATCAAAGTGAGTAACAGTAACCTAAACAGAGCCTCATCCTATTAAAACCCTTTAACAACTGCTCCCTTTTGGCCTGAATTAAAAGTATTTATACGTTAGAGACGGATTTGGACGTTTGTTTTTTATAGTGATGTTGCAGCTTGTCCAGCTAGCCTCAGCCCGTCTCGTCACTTTCCCATAGCGACTCACTGTTACCTCCCTGTCCTGAAGACGTAGCTCTGCTCAGGGGGCGTATTGTAGCTTCTTGTCTTGTAAACGTAACAATGGCCGAAGCTCCTGTCAAGTGACAATCATCACTGCTTTCTCCTGGCAAGAAACCATGTTCGACGGCAGAGAAAAACTCACAAATAGCCCCTGTGAGGGTTAGGGTTAGGGTTATCACAGGTTTTCTCAGCCTGATCAAATCAAAAGGTCTTCAGAGGACTTTCAAGTTTACAGTTTTGTTACAATACTTTTCCCTTCAGATTATAAAGTTATTGGCTCATTAATACTAATGTATTAATGTGTAAACAAAAACTTGTAACCAACCAAATTTGACCCATTTTAGATAATATTGCATAGCTAGTTAAATCTTTGTCAATGCATCGCTTAATAAGATGATTAAATACTTTATATGTAAAATCTTAACCTGCCAAATAACCAGTATGATTCATGTGGTGGAAGCAAAATTTCAACATTTCTTTCTGAAGTACTGCAGGAGTATAAAGTTGCATGAAATGCCACCAAAATATACAAGTAGTGCTCAAATGAATTTGTACAACTGTTGATTCGTATGTTCCGCAGCCCCTTTGTCAGTCTGTAAAAACGTGTGTTCTCTGTGTACGACAGCTCTTTTTACAACTTCAGACGGATTGTGCGTGTTGCGTTTCGCTTTCTTGTGAACACACGACGCGAGTTCTGACTGTTTAATAGCTGCCGCTCAGGGGTTAGTGACCGCAGGGTGACATGACATCAATACGTGTCCTCTGCCAGATGTAAGGGAGTCACCTCAATATAGTGACAATCAAGCAGAAATGAAATAAAAACACATGGACCGCAGGGGAAATGTGCTTGATGTCAGTAACCGATGGCAGTAATGTGCTTGTTCCTGCCGTTTTACTCAAGGCTCATGTGGGTGTGTGTACTGTATGTGTGTCTCTATGGAGATCAGACTGCTCTTGGTATCTTCAGCCACCCACAAACTTACCTTGCATCACCGCAGGCACATACTCTACAAATTTAATCTCAACATTACAAGCAGCTCCTTCCTCACAGGAGGAATAGACTGTCACCTATAGCGCGTGTACATGACTCATCGTGTTTCACCTTTGTCTTCAGACATTCTCAGCCTCATTCCTCTTTCTCTCTCTCTCCCCCCTCCTGCCACCAGAGAGCTTGTCCTTTGTGGAGACAGCGCCATGTAAACAATGGGAGGCTGCGATAATTGTGGTTCCACTTGATTTCAGCTCTATGGAAGAAAGGCAAGCAGCTCAACAGTGGAAACAGGGGATGGACTTAAGGGAGAGGAGGAGAGGTGGTTCATAGTTCACTGTCAGTCCACGACTTTATCTGTGTGCTGTTCAAAATAACATTTAAAGGACCTTAGATTGTGTCATTATCTTTGGTGCTCAGCACAACACTGCACTTCCCAGAGATCATATGTCAATCAAACAACGTGAGAAAGTGTTTATTCCCTTTTCATTGCCAGATTACGCAACCTATTAACCCACTGCTCGTCCTACTCTTCCTGCACTGGGCTGTCACAGTATCAGATGTTCACTGCACGATTATCAAGGGCAACAGGATTCACGATAATAATAATACTAATAATGCCATCAGTCAAATTCATCTTTAATTTTGTTTATTGTGTCTCTTTTTTGGCAAATGAATTACACTCAAATTGCACAAAAGGGCACTTAAAGAACTATTACACTTAATGGATAGTGAATCAGATGACCTGGCAAACAAAACAGGACCTAACATCTGCCATCACCATATTATCATATTTTGTAT